AAGGTTGTGAGGTTTTGACCCACAGCCATATTGACTGGACCAAGCCAATTGACTTTGTCAAAGCTTGCATGGATGTCACTAGACGCGCCACTCCAAGAACAGCCTAGAGCTTCGACAATTTAAATCCTAGAAGGTACTTAAACAAAGATTTCGACCACCCAAGCCCAATCAAACCCACCCCAAGCACCTTCTCAGGATGCAGTTGAAGCTTAGGACAATACTTGATCCAATTTGATCAGGTACCATACGCAAAAGTAATAATCAACATCCCTGTCATCTCTCCGCCTGCCAGGCCGCCTTTTTCGCCTAAGAAGGAAGAAGCAGTCCGTGAGTGAGAGATGCTTATTTGCACTAAGCTAGAACCGCAAAGAGTTCAACGTACATTGTAGAGGGATGTAGCGGATTCCCATTCCCACCATCAGTTCAAAACATGGAAGATCTAGCAACAGCTCACATTTCACGAGAGGATACTTTTTGGGCTGCTGAACACAGCAGCAAGCAAGCTCGCTGGGACCATGATGTCACTTGAAAACCACGATGGACCACTCTCAAAAGATATCAAAAGATGACATCCATTGACCTCCCCTATCCCCGCTGGCTGAAGGCTTCGAGAGGTTTTCAGCGAGCTGGTCGTCTCTCCGTTTTTCCGCCCGACTCCTCCCGTTTTTTTCGAGGGGGGTTCCTCCCAAAACGGCAGGATCCGGAGTCTCAGAGAGTCTCAGAGCTCTCGCCACTATGATCCTTCCCTACTCAACTGGTGGGTCCTACCAAGCATTTCCTGGGCCTGGACTGTGAATCAACATCACATGGCTGGACATGCCCCTTGTCGGGGGAGTAATCCACACGGCTCACAGTTGTGCATCGTGTCATGATGGTTTTACCAAATGATAATAACATTATAAAGTAACCACTTACAGTCTGGTCTAAAAAATATAGGTAAATTGCATAAACAATCAGGTCCAAAGTCAAAAGATGCTAAAAGGGAATCTCCTCTTGGTCTATTTGAGTTCAGAATTAATGGCAACTACCTAATAAAAGGTTCCTTTCAAGGTCCCAAAGATTGAATCTTCGCCATCTTATCATTCTTCTCTCTCCACTCGGTTCCCCCGGCACAGGCTCGCAGTGCGAAGGTCAAGTGCACCACCTACACAGGCCGACAGGTCGACTCAAAATGCAAACCAAAGTGCCCTCGCACAGGTCGCACAACGCGAAAGTAATTGTTGCTGGGGGGAATGCATGTGGTCTCACATGGTTTCGCACCCATGAAAAGTGTCACATCATGTTTCAATATATGTTACATGTCTAGTGTTAGACTCCAGTCACCGAGTCTCGTAGCGACCCAGCGAGCCAAGACCGAGTCTCAGGTGGCCACATCGAGTGATGGATTCTTCCGTGACGCCTGGCGCAACGGCGAAACAGGCCGAAGCAGGCGGAAGCAGCCCATCGAGAGGGGTTGCAGGACGGTTTTGGGAAACGGGACTCCGGTGGAACATGGAATGCTCTCCAAGTGATTGGTGATTTTTTCTTGGAAGTCCATAGCCGGTATATGCCAGTATCCTCAGTATCCTCGCACAACCATCAGTTTGTTCTGTATGTTTTTCTTGGTTGAAAACTTTAAGCCAAACCTATGGAAGAACATCAACCAACGCCTGCTACCATGATAACGATCCTTTTGCCCGACACAGCGTGTAATAGCATGGTAGAAAAATGTCTCATGATTCTCATGCAAAATGGGGTCAGCCCCTGACAATGTGCATGGGGAATATCGGAATACCTCTGATTCATGACAAAATCCGACTAAATGCACCCGCTGAGAGCCTTCCTTGGGAAATCCACCTTATTCTTGCTCATGGCGACATTAGTGGGACTTCATTTGCATTTCGCGATGCACTGCTCAACCGAGTGACTTCTTGCACTGCGCCCGGACACTTAACATCCATGCTGAACATCCGTAACTGTAGAGACTCGCGCTTTTGGCGGCGTAGAGACTCGGTGTCTCGATTCTTTGGATCCTGCTGCTTCAGAAGAAACCTCTCCAACAACTTCTCCAAGCGGGAAGGCCTCCAGCAAGTGGATCGCCTAGCAGGCAAGCGCGATCGCATCCGGTGACCGGTGGGCAGGTGGATTTGATGCCGTATAGCAGTCAACCCAAACACGGTATGTCAGAAGTAGTCTGGAAGTCAAGTCCCAAGCATTGTCCTTCTTGGAGCTTGAGAACCGAGTCCTGAGGCTTGCAGAATCAAGCCAGGCGATCGGTTTCAGCTTCGATATCGCCAGTTCTGGGCGCCAGCTAAAAAGAATGAGGGTACAATCACAAGCCTTGATCTTCAAGACATTTGGTGATCGATATCTAATCTACGAGCCCATTTGATGCCCTTCTAACTTCGGAAAGAGTTATCACAACCAAGTCATCACTACCGCTTCTATCCCCTCAATTCAATCTCACAAATAGCCGCCGAAAAGCGTGCAACTCACTTCCAATGACTCATCAAGCAATTAAAAACAACCTTTTGTTTAAGGCTCAAGAAGGCCGCCTGTGGCCAAGCATATGCCAAGGCCAAAGGCTTCAGCAGTTGGTTGATGGCCTGTGAGGCTCAGGATGGAAGAAGGCTGAAGAGCAGTTGTTCCTTTTTTTAGAAAGAAACCACACCACTCTTAGTCTTAGTAAATCTTAGATCTTTGGTTCATCCCCTTTGCAGAACAAAAATAGTTTCATCTCAGTGTTCCAAAGATGTCAAGTCAAAAAGGCGCCATGGCGGGCCTCTTTGCTACCAGTCCGGCACACCTTGAGCATTGCAATGCTCTGCACACCTGACAGCATCCGACAACGCGCCAAGAACTGCGACCCACTTTCACCTGCGACCCGCTGGCCGTCATCATATTGTCCATTCGATTGGATCCGAAGAAGGACAAGGGTTCTCTTTCGGCTATGGTACGGCCATTCTGAGTCACATTCTTTAAAGCAAAGCAGAACTTCTGCAACTTCAATCGTCTGCTCGCAGAATGGCGGGAGGGCTTTGAACGGTTTCCTTATTTTGTGTTGGCTTGTTTCCGGTAGATGGTAAGGCCAGAATTCTTGATTAAAAAAGTCAACAAAATCAAATGGAAAAACAGTCAAAAACATGCAAATTGAACAGTCAAAAACAAGTCGAACAACAGTCAAAAAAGTCAAACATAGACCACAGCTCGATCCAAAAAACAAACATTCAAAACAAGTCGAAAAAAGTAGAAACCGTCAAAAGTCGAAAACAAATCAACAAAAACATCAAAATCAAAAAACAACTCGAACAAATATCAACAAACATGCCAAAAACAAGTCAACCACTCGAAAAAGTCAAAAACACATCGAAAAACCGTAAACAAGAAACACGGTGTTTAAAAACAAAAAAACTGTCAAAACAAGTACCACAAAAGTAAATAAAAAGTCAAACAATAATCGGATCTGGGCAAATTGACTTTCTTGACTTTGTGAAACTTTCTGATTTGATTTTTTTCTGACTTTGACTTTGGGATTGACTTGTTTTTGTCTTTTTTTACTGTATATACCTAAATTGGAAAACAGGCTCTCTCCAATGAACGATTTTTATAAGTCTATCTGAGACCGGTCGCATGCATGCCTGGATCGACATCTCAAGCCGTCCACAAGGTCCTGTGTGGCTCATTTGTTTGGACTATGAAGCTCAACTTGCCATTGTAAAACATACTGCAAGATTGTCTCTTGGTGTGTGTGTGTGTTTCAGGTCACATCTTCCTGTTGCGAAATGCCCTTCGCGTGTAAACTAGCCGTCAGGGCTGGGGATTTTCTGAAAGGTGCTTCTTTTTTGACACACTCAGACTCAAATCTTCTCTCCTCCCCGGCTAAAGCCACTCTTAGAGCCAAGGCTGCTCGAAAGAGATGGCATTAAGGCTCAAACATGCCCAACACCAGGCTAATCTGCCTTCATCCAGTCAGACTTAGTCGCATCAGGGGATCATCCTTCTTTCCACCAACATGTGTGATCGATGTTCCAGTTTGCGCTTTATCCAACTGGTGGGGTCACCTCTATGCCTAACTTGGCGACATGGGTTCGATCATGGCTGACTGCCTGAACATAAAACACGTTTGGGAAGGACCAAAAGCAGTTCCATCATGTTCCATCCACCAAGAACATTACAGCAATCGTTTGGGTATGGATAGAAACAATCTCCCTCCATCCGTGACCGCTCGTTCTTCATTCCACATCGAGGGAGACCGATGATGACGGGGCAGCACACAAGAGAAGATGCACCTAAAGCGTCCAGAAGTCTGGGTTCAATGTTATCCAGACATTCAAAGACATCTCATCAAACTTACAACACCTCTCCTATGGAGAGAGCATGAGAGAAAGTACATGAAGGTCCACTAGCAGTAGCATTCCGACTCTGGCCCATCTCGAACGGCACCGCCCCCTCTCCCCCCAAAAGGCGCCACTCCGCTTTCTCCGCTCCGCGCTACACGGACGGAATGGGTCGCTCCAACTGCTCCACCGATTTGAAGGACAGGAACTGCACCGCACGGTCCGTGACCCGGCGGTGGTGGGCGAGAGTGGTGGTGGTCGTTGGATGAGAGCTCCGCCATGTCTTTGAACAGCCTACAGGCCCAAAGCTTTAGCCTCCAAACAATACGAGTGACTCCTAGAAACACAGCAAAAGACACTAGAGACCAAGCTCGCTCCTGGGTCTATGGAAGAGTCTGGCCAAGAAAGCAATGTTTGGGAGGCGGAGTATCAGTCTGACAATTATTGCTGCAATCTAAGGAATATGTGTGTTTCCAGATTGACACGCCACACTTTGTCCAAACTCAACCCACAGTGGCAACTATGCCAAGAGGTTTCAGCATTCTTAGCCGACGCTCAACCTTCAAAAATACCAAACAAGCAATCCCTTGCAGGGTCACAGCATGCTTTGAATGACACTGTGCAGATCAGTGCAGTATGGCTCATGAAACAAGATTGCAACATATATATAATTTTTAAAAAAAGCTCGGAAGTCCAGTAAAGTAAGATCTTTTATAAGCTCATTCAATATGAACATCAGGCCCCACGACGGGGATGTGCTGTTGAATATACCAAGCATCGCTCCTAAGTGTGATCCTGCAACCAGCATCACCCTGCCCAGCGCATCAACTTACACCAACTTCCCAAGTACCCTTCCTCAATGGTCTTCTTTCAGCCCAACAAATCCATGAAGGATTTGCCTGGTCCAACGGTCCAGAAACCTGAAGGTATTTCCACATCATTCCACCTCACGACCTCACAAGCCTCGTCTCCCCAACACCTGGACCTTCGGGTGCTCCCCACCTCGTCTCCTTGTTTTCTCCGTTCGCCTCGAGAGAGTGGTGGCGGAATCTCCGTTTTCCGCTGCTTCAGGTGGTTTGGGGGCGACCGTTGTCCCATGAGACTTGTCGCTTGTTTTGGTGGATTTCAGAATCGGAGAAAGACCGGTCGTCCAACGACTGGTGAGGTCGAAACATCGCGAGACCACGTCTTTTTTTCTGGACAAGGTGGGAGAAGCGAGTGGACAAAAGGTTCACCATCAGAACCCAAGGAACCAAAGTTCATATCACCACTACTTCGGTCTTTGGAACGTTCAGGGAAAATCGTGGGGTCCAGTGATTCTATCACCTCTGCTAGTGGCCATGTTTGACCTACATGTCGATGAAAAGCAGGTATGAGACTTTGGTCTCAGTCATTCATAACCACTATCATTCAGTGAGGTGACAAGCGACGGACCTAAAGAATTACAGTAGATGTTGCTAGAGTATGTCCTTTTAGGCTCCAAAAGATGTCCAATTCATCATGCAAGTGATCGATGCAAAAACCTTTGTCTGATGTGGCCTAGGCAAGAGGCCGCCAATGCCGCAGGCAGCAGCCATAGCCTTGGGTCACCAGCTAGTCCATCAGCGTGTTCTTTCAACCTACTGGGCCTCTCACTGTGGGCCCTTTCACGCAGGACGTTCCAATCTATTTGTATACCAATGACCAGTTGTCGTTTTGGCCTTCCCTCCAGGATACCCATGGTGGGCCGGACACTCACTTGCGCACTTTCAGCACAACAGCCAAGCATTGACAAACGTGACACACATAGAATATCTTACACTCACCTGCATCCTGGCGGGTGGAGCCATCAGCACTTCCCACTCAAGCACTAACAAAGAAAGACTATCTTACACTCACATGCATCCTGGGGTGTGGGGTGTGGGGCCATCAGCACTATATACTACACTCAAGCGCTAACAAACAAACAATTTCTTGCACTCACCTAGATCCTGGGGGGTGGGGGGTGGGCCATCAGCACTACGCTCAAGCACTGACAAACGAACAATTTCTTAACGGAAATCTTGCATTAGGCGAGCAATCTGATCCACTACACTGCGAGCACACGCTTGTGCAACGGAAACTATACTCCAGCTGCAGATGTTTCCACCCGTGTGTAGCAAACAAAAGAGTGCGCAAGCGAGTATAATTTCCAGTGCACAAGCGAGTGCTCGCACTCCACTGGACGTCCAAGGAGTGTTCCGATGGTGTGGCAAAATGCAATCACTACTGTCAGTTCAACAATCACCACGCTCCGTTGTTGGAAGTTGGGATGCAATGATTTCACTGAACAACGCGGTCTGTGAGTGATGAGTGGCTGCGAGTGACTATAGGCTATAGGTTTAGTGTGAGGGTTACAGTATATAGATCCGGTGTGGACCCCTTGCTGATATAGATCATTAAGCAGCCAATACACATGCCTCCTGCACACACCCCAAAATGGAAGACACGCCGCTGCCACCAAATAAAGCTTCCCATCCAGTGGAACCTCACTCTATGCTCAAAGAGCACTCAGGACTGATGCACCTCAAAAGAGGCAACCACGGCCTCAGCATCATTTAAGACACCAGTATATTTGCAGTCCACATATCAAAAGCTTTAAAACTAATTGTATTGCCATGTATTCCCCATTCCTGCCCACCCCCAAAACATCCCAAAACAATATGATGCTTCAACCCATGACTGCCAGACATTGGGCGCGGTTGGTTCAAGCGGCGGGTTCATGCTGGCCATGGAGGCGGGCATGGGGTTTGGAGAGCTAAGGCCATAAGGAGGTGCAGCAGAGGGAAGGTCCTGCAGAGGAGCTAAGGCCCGTGCGAACCGTGCGACACGGGGCATCTCGGTAAGTTTATCCGTGCGAATCGGTCGTAACACTATTACAACATGTTAATATATAGAGCACCAGCGACATCAATCCCGCTTTTCGTGTAGAACATACAATCCATTTATACATATATATATATTATATATATATATGAATCCTTTCCCAAAGAAAAAGACAAAAAAGAACTTTGCCCACAATTGGTTCCCAATCAGAATGGAATGTCTCTCAAACCCGTTTGATTGCTGTCATATGGATTCATATGGTATCAATCTGCATGGTTCCTCGAGCCTCAGCAGTTTCAGTATTTATGCGTCTCACAGAAATTGCAGTCCAAAAGGGGCCATTGTCCACTTCCATGATTGTTTCAGAGAGTGTATTCCCTGCATGATCCTCTTGATCTACATACTCTTTTACAGCGCAAATGGCTGTATACCACTCCCCTGCTCGGCCACGCCACGCCGAAAAAAAAGAGACAAAAAACACACACAAAAGCCGCGGTCCCCGTAGGCTGCCGCCGTGGGCACACCCACCGGCGCCACATTGTAACCCAAGGATTGAGCCACTTGAGCAGCCGCCGCCTGAGAGCGCGCCACGGCTTCCGCGAGTGTTTTCGACCGGTCCCAGGAGGTTCCGCACAAACATCGTCTCTGGGCAGGGGCACAAACAGGTGAGCGTTTCTGAAAACCTTGATAACAACTTCGATATGACAACACACTGATTAAACATGAACACGGAGGATTATCGAATGGCTCAGGTGACCGTCAGGTCCTTTTTTTGTTCTTACCCGCTGTATTTGGACCCTGGCTTCCTTGATGTACTAGAACTAGAAGCAAGCTTTTCGCACTGGACAACTGGCCTGCTGCGCACTTACTTGTGCTACTTGCGCTTGAGTGGCGGCAGCCTGTGACATGCGAGCTTGACTGGATCAATCTCGAACATTTCCTGAAATCCATCAGTATAATGACTGTAGACTACCAACCTCCGGTTGGCCTGCAAGTGTAAGCTGAACTTTGATTTGTCTTCCAGGGTGACAGCCACAAACGGACAATCTGTGCTTGTCGCCATGTTAGATACAAAGCACTAGGATGCATTGTATCCAAAGGGGTATTTGAAAGCGCTGTCAGCTGGAAAAACCACTCAGAAGTAGGTGGAAATGCTGTACACGCTCCTCTTTAGGTTCAACCGTGGTCAACGGCTCCTAGATCAATTCCCCTATCGCCTGTGCCGCAGCAGCTTGTGCCGCCGCGACCTCTGCTGCCTTTGCAGCGGCCGCCTTGGCAGCAGCGGCCTCCCAGGAGGGTTCGAAAGATACGCTACGACCGAGCAGCGGAATCGTGTGGAACCTATGCATAGACAGCAAACACACAGTGTGAACCCTTCATAAAATAAAACTTAAGGTTTTTGTTGCAAAAATAAACCTAAGCTGCGGCGAAAGGAGAACACACTGCACCTCACAAATGATGGAATGCAGCAAAGGGAACAGGAGTTAATCCCCATGCTTGAGAACAACTTCTACTCGTACACTACTTTCATTGTTTAAAATCACCAAAATCATCACCCAATCAATAAGTCTGCTTAAAATCAATGCTTTCAGCAACACTGTCTCAATCCAATGGGCATGAACGGCATTACTCATGGGTGTCCCTAGCTACATGTATCCTGGATCCTCTCTTGAATGTCACTGGTGAACCACGTGCACCTGATCACCGAATCTAGTGTCTAGTCAAATCATATAGCATTTAATACGAGTCAATATAAATCATATCTAATTGATATGGAGTAGTCTTGGAACTACCTTGGAACCAAATCCTTCGCATCGTTTCATATCCTTCACCTGACAAACACACAACATACAAACAACTTGTGGCAAATCCTCTGCCGAAGGACCAGTTAACAGTTAGTCGGCAGGATGCAGGGGACGCTGGAGGTTGCCAAGAATCCATCGTAATTGAGACTCTTGACTATTGGTTCATAAAGTACGAGTAGCGGTTACTAACCAAGAGTCTAAATTACTTCTCGAATTATGAACCTTTGGAGCTGTGCAAACATGCGTTACGCACTTGAAAGACATGAACAAACTGAACATCGCTGATGGTAGACCACAGGGGAAACAGCCCCCAAAAAGCTTGAATGTTAACCCGACCGATCTGTAGATCATTTCTCGTTTTACACTGGATGATGACCACCAAACATATTGCAACATGAATCTCGTTTCAAACATGTCCTGAGAATTCTAAACCTATCTATTTTGGATCTCCTAACAACGCCCTTATTCCTCAAACAACGCCTTAATTGGAGCAAGAACGCTCACAGAACGCTGCATCGACTGCACCTCAACAGGTGAAACTCGACTCGCATGTCTCGCCCCGTTTGACATCGATGCGGCACCTGCGTACTGGCCGTGTACGCATGCTGAGCCCACTGGGCGGCCGCCGCCGACGGGGGCGGCGGCAGCGGCATGACGGGGGGGCATCTTCACCTGAGGAGTGAAGAAGAGGAAAAAAGGGATGTAAACCAGGACCTTCAAAGTGACCCTTTGAGATCCCAGAATGAGGTTACTTAGAGACTCCAAAGAGGTCACTTTGAAGGTCCTGGAAAGGAACAACACCTTATGTTTATGTGGGATGTTTACTGGGATGTTTATGTGGGATCTGATATGTTCCGATGTTTCTTGGCTAAGATCCGATGTAGAATTTCACTGGGGAGTCTTTTTGGAGCTGGGAAGTGATCTCACTTGCAGATGTGTGATCGGTGTGCTATTGATGATATCTATTGGTTATCTGATATCTTGATGAAGTCCACAGCACATATACAAGTGGAAGTGTGGGGCCAGGGTTGGGTCTCGATGGATTTGGGTTGGTGGAGGAGCACAAGGGGGGCAATTGGTCCTGTTTCCTTTTCGGAGAGCTAAGCATTTGGGAGATGTTTGTCCGGGGGAAGTACAGTAGGTTGTCGAGCTCATGTTCTCTATCATGAGCTCTCCTCGTTTGTTTTTGAGGGGAAATTGATGACTGTGACTATGTGGATGTGGCGAGAACTTGCAATGGAGAAGTTGCAGTGTATCGATATGCATTCTAGTTGCTGAATCCAGCTGCTGGAGTCACAAAACCCTTTGAAACAAACATGCAGCACCTGGCTGCAAAGTCTATATAATACTTTACTTGGAGAGGAGGTCCCGCTGCTTGGATATGCTTGGATAACAAGGGATAACTGCAAGAACAAAGCGTGTCACGGCCAGCTAGGTCTCGGACATTTGCATCAAACGATGTGGCCGTCCCGGATCTCAGGGAGGATCTTGTGCCCTGAGCGGACTGAACATGAAAGGACGGCTGGTCATTGCTATTATCTATCTATATACCCTCCCGAAAACTAACATGGACTCTGGTCATTGCTATTATCTATCTATATACCCTCCCGAAAACTAACATGGACTCTGGAATGACACCCATGAGAGATGTCCACCAACACGCCACTGTGCTTTCAACAGTGATGACGGTCAACAGCATCCTCACATCCTGGGCCCCTGCTGGGCCCCTCAAGTCCAAGCAAAGGTGGAAGACTCAAATGTTTAGGTATAAGTACTATAGTATGCGGTACAAGTACGAATAAAGCAAGCATTTACACCCCACCCCACTGTACTTGAGATCGATATGATGAGGGACTTCAACGCTCTAGTTAGTTTCCTGCGTGTCCACATATTCCACATTGACAAATCAAAGGTCTGATCTGCAAAGCCCTGCTCGGGAACTCACCGCACTTTGTGGCATCAAGATCTCCAAGAGACCTTAGCGCATACATGCGCATCTGCATACTCTTCTATCTCTCACCTCTCCCAGTTCAGTTCATCCCGCATCAGCTGCCACAGGTAGAATAAGGAGGAGCCACAGCCTGTAAAGGACCTGGCTAATTAATTGGACATCAACAAGCTTCTGATCTAGCCTCCTTGAAGTTGAACAAACTAATTATATAGTTGAATTTGCTCCCTCAACCAACCTTCTCCTCAGCGTGTCAGGATCTTTATGCTAAAAGAAACACATCAGCTTTAGGCAAGTCCCCAAAGCCTGGACACTCCTTTCATCATCTCATCTCGGCTCCTGACTGGAAGCTTCACCTGACCTGCGCATGGGTTCCTACTGAAAGAACGCCTGCAAGAACTCTCACACCACCAACACACCACCGTCACATCACCAACACACCGTCAAGACTCCGTGGTTTTGCACCAGCCTCATGTGGCTGTGGATCCAAATCCCGGAGACCGTTTCTGACCGGACGCCGAGGCATCCGTGTGTGAGGTCCACCCTCAAGGCATCCGGAGGTCTCGGATGTATGGATTTGCTGTCCAGGAAGCCATCCAAAAAAAAGGAAGCATATTCCTGAGAAGGGGATTCAAACCATAGGGAAAATACAACATCACCCTATAGGCATCTATAGGCCCTATGCAAATGTCTGGATCTGTCTGGATCGCCTTTGATTCCGTGCGCTTTTCAGCCCTTGTGGGAAGAGTCAAACGCCTGGACCAGCTCGTGGGGTGAAGCCTGGTCGACCGTCCAGAACTGACCACCGGTGCTTGACACAATGGCAAGGTCCGAGAAGGCCCCTGTTGAAAGGGACACGGACCAGCCCCCTCTTTTGTTGCTTTCGTTCGTTTGAAGTACCAGCCCCCTCTGAAAAACACCCCTCTTTAACCGGGCTCCATGAAAAAACTTGACACTTCTTCGGCGGCTAAAGACTATGGCCCTTTTTCTTTCAAGAGTCCATCTACTGCTGAATCCAACCGATTCCAGAACTGGCCTTGACATCAAACCGCTGCTTGGCCTGGCAGTTTGGGCGAAACCCACTCGAAGCACCGCTCCGGTCACTCGATGGCCCGTCTGGCTTTTCGTGTCACCTCATCCAATGGACATATGCCAACAGTCCAACAGAGATGACCTGCGGTGTGTCGGACATACAGAAATGTGACCTGCGGGCCGCCCATGGGAAGGAGTTCACCTGGGCATTGATCTTGATCCTCGCAGCTCACATATCAAGGGTAGCCCGGACCGCTGAACGATACAACATGAGTGCTAAAAGGTACATCTACATCATCTACATACAACCTCGTCAAAGGCTGCCCTAATCTACATAGTTACATGAGCTCAAACATGCTCAAACATCGCGGACTCCCATCGAATGCAAGCATGCCGGCTGGTCTTGAACCACCGGAAGCAATGGAATGTGCTCAGGCATCTACAAGGCTGTTCCCTGTTTCAGCCTTCGAAACTGACTCTTGATCCGAGACGTGGCAGGCCAGGCTATTTAAAATGGCTCTAAGATATCGCCATCGCTATTAAACCTGCTTCTCTGGCATGAACCAAGAGCGCAACAAATGCAGGAAATCAGTGAATCACGTGGTTGGCTTTGCCACACTGATGAGTCTGTCCGAAGGCACGTGATATCAAACAGGGTTGACGTCCATTTTCCACGAACGTGTTCGCAACACAAAAATGCACAAAGGCTACATACAGGTGGACAAGAATCAAGAAACCACGCTACATTTTTCCCCGGCCGCACATAAGTTGCTATGAATGATTCACCACGTTGGGCGAGGGGTATACCGCATAAATCTGTTATACAACTCCAAAGAATCTTCGCAAGGTTTAAATCAAGCATGCAATATCTATCATATTGATACGTCATTTTGTTTGAATCAGTTTTCCACCACAACAGCGCTTGATAGATTCTGGGCGCCAGCTTCGGGCTCAAAATCTCTGTTCACGCCCTACACGGCGGTGTCGGCATCTTGCTTGGCCACGGCGAGCCTTGGGCCATTGGATGCCGAGGAGAGGCCAAAGGCAAATTGTCATCTTGTGGGGTGGACATGTGTATCCAAAAAAAAAGGATCGAGACTAACATCGAGTCATATGTTCACAGGTGTGTATGTTTGTTTGGTATTTTTTTTAAATATGTCATGTGTATTTCATAATTACTTAGGATATATCTACATTCCTGGACCCACAAAGGGGTTCGTTGATGGACCCCGATATGGGATTCTGCTTTGGCATGTTCCGTCACGTTGCCTGTTTCATCCTTTGGATTCTATGCTCCAGGATTCACAGCCGCGCAGCGAGCGAAGCGACAGTGACTTGGGCATCTCCCGCCCGGCTTCCCCCCCCGGCGGAAGCGCTGCAACGCTCGGTGTTGCCGACCTCTTTTCCAGCTCCGCGATGGTGGTGAGCAGCTCCTCGAACCGGGTGGTGAGCCGCTGACTCTGTGGTGGATTCCCTCATTAATATCATTAATATAAAGTCTATTCAAAACTGGGCTCTCCATTATCAAAAGTTTGAGACCAACCACTTGGAGTAAAGCGTTGTCCAGCAAGGACTACATCTTGCGGGTCCTGATCAAAGACGTTACTTTCTAGTAGTGGACGCTTTTTTAAATGAGGAACTACAATATACATCAATATCTTCAGCTTTTCAGACTTGCTTCCCCCCTGCTGAACGTTACATTAAAGCGGCCCCAGAGTCACCATCAGCTCTTTCACCATTTTGGATCTCATCCGCCCTGTGCATCCGTCTCCTGCTGCTTTTCGAGCTGCGACTTGGGAGGATTATCCTGAGCACGAAGACCGACTCAGTGAAAAGTACCGGATATCTGGTCCCTTTGCGGCCTTTGAAAGCTTGGCTAACACATGGCTATTGTTGGATAACAAGGAAGCTATCTCTGTCAACCTTAGATCCTTTACTACATAATATTACATATATCATTACCATGATTAATCGAAGTTAAAGTGCTCAGGAAATACAAGACACCAGCCATAGACTGAGCACGGACCATTCTTCATTGAACCAGTGACATGCCCTTCGGCAATGGCATTCACCAGAAAAAGACACATCCCAAACTTAAGCCGGATCCATATCCATCCATCGAACACGGTGCGTGCCCGTCGCCGAGACACCGAAAAGCTCCGTGCTGGCACCGTCGCTACTGGCTGCTCGCTACGCGGTCTCCTCGCCGGCCGATACAACCGAAACACTTGAGATCGCACAGAACATGAAGGAAACAACAAAAAACATCCCCACAACGCCTGGAATCTTCAAAAGGCCCTTGAGCTTGCCGTGCATTTGTACACATTTTAGTTCCCGGCTTGTGCCATGCGTCTAGTGAACCGCCGGCTCTCGTCCTGGACCCCGGCGGGGGGCCAGAGGGGCCTGATGGCTCCAAGCCCTGAGCGAATCGCTTGAGCTTCCACACAGAAGCTCTCTCTGTTTGGTTTGGAACGGAATGGGAATTCTTCAGCTTCTGTAGATCAAAATCATGCCGGACCAGGATTCCAGCTATTTGCGACGGAGTTGTTCTGCATCGAACCAAGGCCAAACGGATTCCCATTGTCAGGAAGTTGACCCCGGAATACACCCCCCCTGGGAGAAAGGATATCAAACTCTGGTCTAGGCTAAAAATCCGATACATGGAAACCGCTCATCCGAAACCAACACAA